CCCACCCCCCCCCCCCCCCAAGTTTTGGCTTTAAATTAAATCAAGATATGAGCCATAGAAAAAAATCCAGAGTTTTTCTGCCATTTGGCGTGCGAAGGCTAAAGCTCTTCATAAAGCAAATTCAGCCAAACAAATTATGAATACATGTAGATCTACTAGTATTTAAAAAATCGAGTTAAACTTTCCCTTGTGATATTTGAACAGGAAACTGTAGGCTTATTTTTCCTTCTTACGTTCAGTTATTTTAAAAAAAGTATACCAAATAAGTAGTGCTTTATTCTGTATGTATTAAACTTTGGTGATTTATATTGATTTTAAGAACTAAAGTAGACCATTTACAGCACTTAAACTAAAGCTCCTTCTATTGCTGTTTTAAGAAAGTCTAATTTTAGACATTCGTAAAACAACTGTGACAACTCTGGACTCCCTAAAGATAAAAAAGTGAACTTAGTGTTGTTTTGTAGCCTGGTCAATTGTTTTTCTACACAGAGTAGTGATAACAGAAACAAAAACCTTTACTAATTGTGTTTTTTGGACAACATTCAATGAAACAAAACATTAAAAAGTACACTGTTTGATAAAGAAATTACCTGTCCATTGTGAAAAAGATCTAGCTGCTAGTCAACCTTAACTCTAATGGCCCAGAACCTTGCTGATAGCTCTTTATATAAAAAAAACAACCCCGGGGTGACTATTTGTGTCTATAAGACATATTATGAGCTAAAAATAGATGATGTAATAAAAGAAAACAGACATCACTGATCTGCCTGACAGAAGCAGTGATGGGTAGTTTAAATTCATTCGAGCAATAGAAAATGTGCCAAACACATATTATACGCTGTGCATATAGTAAGCTCAGCACCAAGCACACTCAGGACTATGGTTTCCTTTGTCACTAATAAGCTTAGATCTATCCTATACTATATATCAAGCGTTTTAGACACTAGCCTATCTTTGGCTGCTCTCATCCATCATCATCCCATAAAAATAATTATAATTGATGATACTGTTATATTACTATGTTTAATATATGTTAAGTCATTGAGTCATTGTCTAGTGAGTGAAATTTGTGCCTCAGATTAGTAGATCTAGCTTGGATTTTGTTATGTTTAAGTAAGTAATTTAAACACAAAGACGAGGCAAAATTGCAGTGGTTAGATTTGATATCAATTAACTGAAAGGTAGACTTTGATCAGACCAGGCTCTTAATCTTTTCGAATATTTTCTTCAAAACATAGATCTGGATCTAATCTGTCAAAATTCTTATCAATCTTATTCTTACCAGTGAAATGAAAGGGGTTCCTTTCGAGTCTCTGACTGTAAGTACACTGATAAGTTAAACACAGCAGTGTTACACCATCCTTTCTGGTCTCGTTTTTTTGAAAAGAAAGTATCTAAGGCTGTAGATCTTCTACTACTACTACTACTACTACTACTACTACTACTACTACTACTACTACTACTACTACTACTACTACTGCTGCTGCTGCTGCTGCTGCTGCTGCTGCTGCTGCTGTTGCTGCTGCTACTACTACTACTACTACTACTGCTGCTGCTGCTGCTGCTACTACTACTACTATAGCGCCCACAAACCCAGCTCTAGGTGCTTTAGAATCCACATAAATGCATGTATGAACAATATTCACACACGCACACACACACACACACAGTTACGCATATAGCGCCCACAAACCCAGCTCTAGGTGCTTTAGAATCCACATAAATGCATGTATGAACAATATTCACACACGCACACACACACGCACACAGTTACGCATACACACACACACACACACACACACACACACACACACATCTCACGCACACGATTACACATCGTACAAACATGATCTAGATTCTAGATCTCGACGTCTATGGGGATATGGCTTTTCTTTGGGTTACATAAACGAGTTTTAGTAGCCTACTATTTTCAATAAGCTGGAGCTTATTATCAATCATCCAGTTCTTAACATCATCAATGCACATACCCATGGTGGCAGGCAAGGTTTTAACATCTGGTGGTGGAACAGATTTATACAACTGTGTATCATCTGCGTACAAGAGATAATCCATACTCAACTGTGATTTCTAATCAAAGTTCAAAAAGACGTTAATC